TTGTTATTTTGAATTGCTTTGGGTGCAGTTTGTAGATTTTCATTTCCTTGGGGTCAGTTACTGGAGGTTCCTTTGATAGATTCCTCTTTCTTTGCTTCTTCACACCTCTTGAGTATACATGTGGCTGTCTGCATGTTAGCTTTGCAGATTATCTTTTCTGGGGAAAGACTTTCACTTCAGGTGACTACAAGAGTGCCACTTGAACAGGGTGGGGTGGCTCTGGTTTTAGGTAGGCATAATGATTGAGTCTACATATAGCTCTGTCAGCTGTAATCAATGTTCAAACTCTGAATGTGACTCAGTGGCTTGCACTGCAAGAACCTGTGGCAACAGCCATGGCAACACAGCTGGTGTCCTGTCTGTAGCTTTTAGATGCCACTTGGGTTCCAGGATACATATGTTCAGAGTGGCTGCAGAGCAAGGATCCTGGATTAGAGACTTGTGGAACCAACTTCTGTGGCACTTAGGAACTTCTGGTTCATGAGATCATTAACCAGGGTATATGTAGGTCACCCTTACAACCCTACCCTGAGACTCTCAGGTGTACCCTACCAGCTGAGGCCCAGGGAGAGGACATATAGCTATGGCTCTGACATGGGGTGKAATGGGGCAAACCCTCGAATCTATGCTAAAATTTACATGTTGTAAACTTAATCCCCAAWGCTGTTGACAGGTGGGCCCTCTAAGTGATGAGGTCATGAGGCTTCTGTCCTCATTAATGGATTAATGCTGTTATTACAGGAGAGAGTTAGCATGGGAGTGAGGTGCTGATGAGTTTGGCCTCCTTCCCACTTGTCTCATACTCTGTCTCTTTCATGTAAGTGCTTTACTTCTTTTTGTCCCAAGAAGATGCCCAAGAAAGCTTCAGCAGACATAGATCTCTAATCTGGAACTTTCTAGCCCTTACAACCTAAGAAATAAATGTTTTTGTTGTTGTTGTTGTTTTTAAAGAATTACACAGTCTCAGGTATTTTTTTGTAGCAGCACAAATATGGACCAAGACAGYAGGATTCTGAGGAAGCCCAGGCTCTGGGGGCCATGGGGCAGCAGCAGCAAAGACCTAGGAATGATGGGCCACAGCTGTGGCTTAGGCCTTGCATTTCCCAGCTCAGGAACAGTGCAGTGATAACACCTTGGCCTGAGAAGTTGGGGCACCACAGCATATCAGGCTCAAAGATGGTATGGCACAGAGATGACTCCACTCCCGGGAGGCTGGGTGCCACAGCAGCTCTGATTCCAGAGTGCAAATTTGGTTCTGAGGAAGAAGGRCACCTCTGCTCTTTGGCCTGAAGAGCAGGATGGACTAGCTCAATGGGGGTTCTGCTTCCCTGAGAGGTAGGCACACTGTCAGATTGGCCCCAGGACACAAAGTTGCATGATTAAGGCAAAGCTCTGTTTGGGGTGACACAGGAACTTTTTTAGACTGATATTTTTCTCMCTATTATTAGAAAATAGTCCTTAAGTGTTATATAATTGAGAAGTGTCACTTTTTCTGTTTCCTGCAGACTTACATGGTACCAAAGCCCTACAACTCACTGTACATCAGGCATTCTGGCAATTTTGTTCATTTGTTTATTTACTTAGGTACTGGTAATTAGACCATGGTGTGCTTAACTACTAAGCCACATCCATAGCCCTTTTATTAATTTTTTATTGTGAGAAAGGGTCTGAACAAGTTGCTTAAGTCTGCACCAAGTTGCTGAGACTGTCCTCAAACTTGTGATCTTCCTGCCTTGACTTCCCAAGGTGCTGGGATTACAGGCACATGCCACCACACCAGCCTATGCTAGCAATTTCAAAAACATTGAAGAGCTTGAGTCATACATGAGTAGGCACTTCATAAGGGTAATTTATTTTACCTAACACGTTTGTCCCCTTTTACATCCCATATTCCCCTTCATGCTTTTTTGGTTTGTTAAACCTTTGTTTTCACCTTGGAATTCTTGGAAAATCTTCTCTTTGCCCCTTTTATTTAGTCTTGCAGCAACTTGCCCATCTCTCTAGTAGTGGTTGTCATGTCTGCTCCTTCTGGCTATTTAATTTACTATGCCTGTCCAGTTGATTAATCCCTAGTTGTTTATACTGTGCTTGGGCTCATCTTACGTTTTTGATATTTAACCTAGTTGCTAATACATCGTCAGTGACATTTTGTAGAATAATTGCAAGACCAATAGGTAACCTGCAGTTAGCTCTTTTGTCTTGGATTAACTGTAATGTAGAGAGGAGACTTCTAAATGGACCCTAAATGGAATAAGTTCATCTMACCTCAATGTATTGAAGATAAATCACATTGAAAATAGTAAGTCACTTAGTATCTCTATTCACACATCTAGTGAAAGGATTATAATTTATAAGGTTCAGACACACTCCCAGGAGCACCCACTCATTTTTATTTTTTATGTGCTTTTGATAATTAAAAAATAGCATTGCATAAGTATCAGAGAWGATGGTGTTTGAACTCTTGGTAAGGTAGTCAGAGCAGCTCTTTGTGATAAGATAACAGGTAAGGAGTCATACTAATATCAGGGAGCTTTCTATACTGGGAAAGAGCAAGGGTGAAATGCCTGAGGCATAAGTGGTGTGGTGCTTTTAACACTGAGAATGTGTTTTTGACCTGGGGAAAAACAGGCAAAGATAGATGGTAAGTTACACAAAATTCTTGCTAGAACAGGCCTCCATTTCTCTGCCTTTCCAGTAATAGTAAAGGGAAATAATAGTCGTTACATATATGAAATTTATCATGTGCTGTAACCTACTTGATATTATCATGAAAATATCTTACACCATGTTACCAAACTCTGTTCTTTGTTTCTMCTCTTTTTTAAAAATTTTGGTCTGGGTCTATTATCATTTCTACATAGTCAGTATCCATTCTATTTTCACCTTTCTTACTCTGCCCACTTTTRATCTTCCAATCATGTAGGAATCTGAGCAGGGGGAATCTCAGAAGTCAGGACAGACAGGAGCAAGAAAACAGATGCTATGGCTTCAGCAATCCTGGGGAATGTAAAGGAGGAGGTGACCTGCCCCATGTGCCTGGATCTCCTGACACAACCTCTGAGCCTTGACTGTGGCCACACCTTCTGCCAGGCCTGCATCACTTCAAACTGTGAGTCCATGATGAGTCAAAAAGAGGAGAGCAACTGCCCTGTGTGCAGAATCAGTTACCAGTTTGAGAACCTGAGGCCTAATCGGCATGTGGCCAACATAGTGGAGAGGCTCAGGGGCATCAAGCTGAACCCAGAGGAGGAGCAGAGGGTATATCATTGTGCACGCCATGGAGAGAAACTCCTACTCTTCTGTCAGGAAGACAAGACAGTAATTTGTTGGCTTTGTGAGCGTTCTCAGGAGCACCGTGGACACTCCACATTCCTCTTGGAGGAGGTTGCCCAGGAGTACCAGGTAAGAGATCAGTTGGGGGGAGGACAGAGACAATATCTCTTCTTTACACTCGTCTAATTCCATTGTGTCATGGAACCGATGCCTGTGATTTGTTTCTATGCTATGCTATGCTTACCTTCTGACACCTAAAGGATGAATTTTTACCTTCACTTAATTGCTAAGCCTGGAGTAGAAACTCTTGGACAGGGAGCATAAAAATACTGCGCCTTGTGCTAGATGTATAGAGATTTCGAGTCCAAGAAAAGCTCTTTCAGCAGAAGAGTGAATGAGAAGGGTTGGTATATAAGTTCTTTCCTTGCTGCAAMATCAGGTTCCTCTTCTAGTGCAAAAATATTTAGACTACTGTTGGTGAGAGGTTGGTAACATTATTTCCAGAGACTTAGAGAAGACACCTTCCACCACAGGTTTTCTTCCAATTCATAGATTACCATTGTCTATTCACACAGTTTC